TTGCCTGCCGGACACCCCGGAGACAGAGGGTCTTATTGGTGAGAAGGAGATCACCTTGCTTCCGCCAGGCTCGGTCATCGTCAACGTTGGTCGCACCTTGCCAGCCATTAATATCCATGAATCATGAACTATTTTCGCTGAGATGGCTCTGGAAGGGACGACCAATGATGATACACGACGGCTGTGGCCGTTTCCGGTCATTGACCGCAAGCATATCAGTCAATCCCCTCTGTACCTTTGAGGAGGGCACGTCCTCAATGAGGAAGCTTTCTTCAATGCGCTCCGAAGCAACCACTTGCTGGGCGCTTCCTGGCACGACTTAATTACGGTAGCACAGGTTGTGGGATGTTAGGGTGTGCAGGGAGAGGTGCGATGGCTGTTTAGCGACTTACAGAAACCCAAGTTGGCCAATTTGCAGGGTCAAGGAGTGAGGGTCAATAAGGAGCGGCTCAAGTTGGATAGACTTAGGATGACTCGCGGGTGGCAGTTGCAAATTGAAACCCACTTCTTTCAAGCATGATTCAGCTTGGATTCGACTTCATGTTCCAACTCGATGCCAGCAGCCCAGGCAGGAGTGGACTGCTGGTACAAATACCCTGCAGATGCCAAGAGCCGATGCAGCACCCCTGTTTCTGCAAAGTTTGAATTCGGAGGCGGGAACATCGGATGGGTGGGTTTCCATACAGCGTACGATATGCTTGCATGTCTGCTGAATCGTGCAAGCTTTGGAGAAAGGGATTTGTCGAAGGGCTGCTGTAGTCGGCGGCTGTTCTGAAGAACTTACGACGAATATCTATTGACGAGTGGCAGCCCGCCAGCCATGATGTCTTCTGCCTGCATGTCCTCGACGTGACAGGCTTGGAGAACATTGTAATGTCCCCGCACCGTGCGGGCTCTGTCGGTGGTCGCCTGAGCCGGCGAGCGAGATGCTGTGTAGGAAGTTTCATGTCACTGTGATCGATGAATGGCGTGAAATCTTGACATGAAAACTGGTATGCTGCATTTGTGTTCCTGCACATGGCTGTCGCGTGTGTTGCGTGGCCGATCCAGGCTTGCCTGCGACAGAGCGCTGTCGCATGGCCGCTTTGGCCGAGCTGTTTAATGCAGCCGCAGAGCAGGGATTTCAGGCGATGCCAAACCGAGACCCACCTGCAGACACTGCTAGTGTGCTCCATTGCCATAGACCCAAGAAGCGTGAGATGCTCGGAAGACAGTAACACGTTGAAGCCCTAAAAAGAATAAATGTATGGCGCGTGTTTGAGGAGTCGACGTCTCCAATGGCTACTGAGAAGACTCATCCACTCTGGGATGACCTGAATACAGGGTCGACTGCGGAAGGAGGTGATCGCCCAGTCGAAACACGGAGCAAGCCAAACAGCGGAACAAGCGGTGGTCAGTAGTCTCCTGCATCATGGTCGTAGTCGTACGGGGGAGTACTCGTACAGCGGGGAAGCAGTAGTTGGTCAGTGGAAGTAGCCGCAGCCATCGTCGTGCAGTTGTAGCCGTGGTTAAAGCAGCGGCACCAGTAACAGAGGTGGTGGTAGTGGTGGTGGTAGCTGGTAGCAGCAGCAACAGGAGGAAGAGGAGTAGGAATAGACTCGTTCGCATGTGCTAGTAACTAGTAGTGACAATATAGTTGTGCTGGTTTTTGTCGCGCCGTAGTAGAGGTAGCAGTAGTAGCAGCAGCAGCAGCAGCAGCAGCAGCAGCAGCAGTAGTAGTAGTAGTAGTAGCAGGTTTAGTAGCAGTAGTAGTAGTAGTAGTAGTAGCAGCAGTAGTCGTCGTCGTGGCGGTAGTTTGCAGTCGCAGTGGTGAACATGATTTGATGCTGCTAGCGAAATCTCGCGGCTCGTGCGAGCGTTTGACCTTCGAGGCCCCGCTGCTCATGGCATACCTGCTCGTGGCAGAGGCAAGGTTTGAAGCCAGAAGCCTGAAGGGTTCCCCCAGGCCCAGCACGTGGGGTCGGCGCTGCCAGAAGCGTTGCAGGAAGTTTCCTTTCGACTTGCGGACGGCAGGGGCCGGAAAAAAGAGAAGTGCTGCTGGCAGAGTTCATTGAGCAGCAGGCTAAACTTCCGATGGGAGACGAGGATGCTTACACATACTCTGGCATTGCCGTGGCCCGAGAACTGTAGCATGTTACATGTTCATTCTCTCGTTGATGTTGCTGCCGGTACTTCCTACCAGGCGATGTCTATGGTCGATGATCTCAACGAGGCCCCTGAAGTCATACATCAGTTGGGCCGTCCGGCACCACAATAGGATGACGGTACTTTTCTTGTTTCTTGCTGACTTGACTTGGCAGTTGGTGAAGCCGATTCTGGCAGCACCCGACCCAGCTACAGCGGCAGCAGAAGGCAGTCATGCTGTGCATTTCCGGTGCAGAAATTTCCGCTGCTTTCCAAGGAGACATCTGTGTGGCCTTACCGCGAGGTCAGGGAAGGATGCGTTTCGGCAGTCATATGTATCTGAAATCTGGGAACACTCACACATTGGTGGGGAGGCCGTTCTCGCAGCATGTTTAGGAACGCAGCAGCTTGCAGAAGAAATGGGACCAAGCGCTACGGTCGCATCGGCTGTTTCTGCTTGTTTCGAAGAAATACAGCAGGCAATCTCCAGATTGCAGCTGACAGAGAATGCAGCGTTGCAGGCAGGGGCCATCAACCGCCAAAGCACTGCAGAAGCGAAGTTGAGTTGAAGGCCAGACAGTCCTATCCGGCACTGTTGGGCGGACCCAGAGTACCAAGCCCAGATGCCGTGACGGCTTGGATCGTTGTTTCACTCAGTGGCTGGCAGCAGTGGCCACTGTCGGCAGTGTACATCAGTGCTTACAGTGCAACTCATCCTCCCAGGGGATTACGCTCGAGTTCGTCATCGTGCACTGCAAAGAGCCGCTGGAGTGGGTAGAGGCACGCCACAGGGCGAAGCTGAAATGCAGGGAGAGTCATGTGCCACTGACAACATTATCATGCACCCGAAGTGAGTACCCATAGGCCCTAAAGTAGTTCCTTTTTTGGGGTTCATATATAGAAGCCTATAAGGAGCTGCTATGGGGCCTATGGTAGCTGCTTCCTTCCATTGCCTTCAGTCCGTTAGGCAGACCTACTGCCTATTGCCCCTGCTGGCCGCGGACTTAATCCTGCCCCTCTTATTCGTGCACATGGTGGAGTCACCACCCCGTGTGCTGCAGCGTATTGAGTGTCTTGAGCTCTCATCTTCGTGAACGAACTGATATGGACTTCATGGCAACCTGTGACATCTGAAGGCTCCCAGCTCACATTCTACGAGAAATGCCATGGCCCTAGCGGTCGAATCGCATGTCATCTCTGTTCGATTCCAAGCGCTGCTCCAGAGTGTCATAACATGTTCCGTCCGTGAGGTGGGGAGGAGCCAAAATTCTCAGGCAGGCGGCGGCTTTGACAGTTTGAGCTTTGCCATTGTCCTCGTCGGATCATGCACCCGCAGCCCTGAACCCTCAGTTTGTCAAGAATCTTAGCAGGTGGTCCGCCAGGTGTGTTGCAATGACACTTCTCTCGCTCGCAGCATCTCGCAGCGCTTGCCAGGGGCAGTGATGCAACACTTTACGCCGGTCTCTGTGAGATCCTGTGCTGCACTCGGGAAACACATTGGAAACACTAAACTCAGCTCGACTATGACTCACAAGCCCCAAGAGAGGTGACAGAGGTGCTAGGGCTTCAATGCATCTCATTAGCATGACTGCGTGAGAGCCACGCATGCATGCGCACAACTCAGTTGTCAATAAACTTGCTGAAAAACACGCTTATTTGTCGTGTATATGTGCATGTTAATGACGGCATAAGAAAAAATCTGTTAGTAGATAAGCAGTGTGTGGTGTGCATATTATATACATCGCACATCTACGCATATATGGTCATCTATGGTCATACATAGGTATACATTCGTACATACATATGTAAACACGCACATGCATACGTACATCCACCCATCCATCCATGCATGCATGCATACATGCATACATGTATACCTGCACATACGCATACGCATACACAAGCATACATATCTGCATTACCACATGCCTACCTACACACATATACACACATACATACACACATACATACATACGTACGTTCATAAATACATACATACATACGCACACACAGGTACAGTCGTCCATGCACATCCACATCAGCGCACACTTGCACATACATATACATAATAACATTCCGATACGTGTATATATACATATACATACCCACATACATACATAGAGTATCAGTCAGTCAGCCAAACGACTATGATTATTTCGATGCATACCAACTGGGAGGGAATGCATCTATAACAGAGACATCGGCTGAAGGTAGAGACCCTGTCGACGGTCCCCGTGGAGATGAGTGCTTGGGTTACCTGCCCCGGTCCTACCTCGGGCTGCTGCGGTTGAAGGTTGTAATTACTTTGGATCAAGATGTCAAGAGGTTCTTTATTTGGGGTCCTTGTAGTATCTTATAAGGATCCTGCTACTTGGCGACTACATAAATTGGGCTGGCCGATGCGACCCAGGGCCCACATCGTCTCCAACTATTGGAACCTGGCCACGTTTACGGTTTTTTTGCAGGCCAGGTAAGCACCACGGCCACTTGAGAGTTCAGTGCAGCATGTATCTGAAATGGATTATGCATGCTCAAACCCACCATCAGCACTGAACCGACAATCAAGCTCGAAAACTTGCTGCAGGCAGATCCCAGCGAGCACCTTCACTTCTCGTGCCACGGTGTGAGATTTCTTCTGTGGTGGTTGCCATTGGTCAGGACTTGCTTTCAGCCCTGAACCACGAATATTCGTTGCTGCTCAAGCTCGTGGCACAAACGTTTGCAAACGAGTGACTCATGAAGATTGCTGAGACGACAGCTTGGGTGTGGCACAGGTGCGGGGATCATGTTCTGGGTTGCCTCCGTGCTTTTTCCACAGCTTCACAACTGTCAGTTTTTGCTCCGCAAACTCAGATTTACCACCGCCAGCATAGAGCATGTTTGACAGCAATGGGGCCAAAGCTGATGCCAAGTGCTACCTTGAAGCCTTGCTTTTCTGTGTGTTCGATAAAGATGCGGGGCCAATCGTGCAGTGTGCTGACCCGCCAGGGGCCAGCACCTCTTTTCAGAAGGTCGGCCACTACTTGCTGCCGGATTCCACAATCAAGGGCCGTGTTGTCTCCATTGTGTGCGGCGACCGGGTCATGATGGGTACTCCCGTATACATCGAGGATGCCTTTTATCATCGCAACAGCTTCCAGTTCAATATTTGCATGGTGATTGACAGCAGCAAACATCACGAGCCATATCGTGATATCGCGCAGCTTCTTGCCATGTCTTTTCAATCGCTGGAAACCGACACTAGATTGCTTTCCAACCCAAGGGATCGAATTTCCATCCAGGACGTTCTAGCACAGCTCCGGCAGCAAATCAACAATGCTGAGGAGTGCTTTGTACGCATCGACATGTCTCATGCTATAGCATTCAAAGTCCGCAGATGGGTTCCCGCACTCACAAAAATCGAAGATGACACCTTGGTCCCCGTTCCACTCATGGACTTGAACCAGCTTCTGGCGTCTTCTCCGAGATCGGCAGCCAAGCTGCCGGCGTTGCCTTTCAGTTTGGACCCGGCAGTGGAAGAGGTTGTGCGACTCATTGATGGTGTCAGCAGTGTTCAGCGCATAGCACAAAGTTGCCCTTTGAGAAGTGACTACGTGGTCATGATCCTGAGGCATTTACTCCATTTCAATTTGATCCGCTTGATCCCCGAGATCCACATGGAATGCAAATACCGACTCACGCCAGCATACCACATGGTGCTCGAAGATTCTGCGACGGGGCAACAGGCAGTCCACTATGTGACAGCCGGAAAGCGCAAAGTTGATAGCCTAAATGAGGAGGAGCAGGAAGCAGAAGTTCAGAAGGTCATGGCCCTTTATGCACTGCTGGCCTGCGAAGGCCAAGTTGTAGAGCATTTCCAAACAGACTACCAGGAGGAGATCATGGAGCTCCAAATCTCGTTGAAGCATTTCCTGACATGGGGCTTGCTTCAAGGATACCTGGAGAAAGTCGAAGAGCATGTCGGCAGCTTGAACAAGGCACAGGCTGAAGAACTCTTCCGACTGAGGACAATCCTTATTCCAGAAAGAAAGAAGCTGCTCAGCGATCAGGGTCAGCCTGCGAAAGACGTCAACAAGGATCAACAAGTCGTTGAGATGGTGGCCCGGCTCAAAGAACTCCAAGAAATGGAGCAGAAGTCTGGCAGTGCGTGAGTAGTCGTCCACGGTGCCTACATCTATAGTAGGTCGAGACAAAGTGTGAGATACCCGATGCAGGAACATTCCCCCAGATAAAGGCATGAAGAATCTCAGACTGGCTCAGACTGCTCCTCGGACTTGAATGTCTGCTCGAGAAGCCTTACCTTCGGCGGCGAAAGTTGAAAAAGAAGCGACTGACATCCTGTGAAGACACCGCTTGCATGGAAGCCGGAGCAGCTCGAGCCCTGTCACTTGATGTTCCTCGAGTCGCGCATCATGTTCTGAATTTCTTCGTTTCAGGTATTTGCATGTAGTTACGAAGATGGTGGCTGCTGCCACATATGCCAGGACCCCAAGGACGAATTGGCGGCATCAGTGGCATCAGTTTGTTCGGCACACGCATCTTTCAGTTGGTTGTAGGAAAGATGCGATGCCCGTCCGGCAGCTGGAGTTTGGTCGTCATGTCATAGGAGTAGATGTGCGAACAGCATCAGACGACCCGGCGCCGACAGTTTCAAGGCTCAAAGCTTCAGAGACGACTAAAGCATTGCTTTGTTGCATTGGCTGCCTCTCCACAAACTGCAATGGAGCGAGATCGTTCTGAGAGCCGGCTGGCCAGACCTCGCAGGAACGCACCTTGGGTTGATTGGCAGCATCATGGAAAAGACTCCGAGTCTTCGGACATCGGCAAAAGTAACTTGGCAGTCGAGTTTGTCTTTTCTGTGGCAGAGTCGGTCTGTGCCCGACTCGACCTGGGCCTCTGCCAGCCGCAGCTTTCCGTGGGAGCACGCACTCGTCATCTGGAGCAAGCGCAGAGAGAGCAAGGACCGAGAGTTTGCTTCCCGCCAGCTGTGCCGCACCTATGCGCGAGACCAATGGATTTCTGCTCTAAGCATGCTTGCAACCATGAGGGCTGAACGTGCTGTGCCTGACCTGGTCTCGCACAATATTGTCTGCAGCGCGGTCAGGAAGCATGGTCCGTGGCGACGGGTTTGTCTGCTAGTGAATGGAGTTTGGATGTTCAGCCTGTCCCCAGATGCTGCTACTTGCTGTGTGGCAATTACCGCCGCCCAATCATGGCAGCGGTGGCAGGCGGCAGCAGAATCGTTTTCCATGTTCTTGCGACAAGCCTTGGTCCCCAACGTGATCCTGTACAATGCGCTGGTCAGTGCCTCTTCTAAAAGCGGCTCGTGGCAGCATTCGCTCGCGACATCGACAGCTATGCAGGACGGGCGAATCGTGAGGGATGTTGTCGGGTACAATTCTTTGATGTATGCTGCGGATGCGAGCAATAGGTGGCAGGCCGCACTGCATGTCTTTTCCACACCGCCAGATGGCATTATACCCAACACCGTTTCGAACGGCACCTGTGTGACTGCTTGCCAGAGAGCAAGGCGCTGGCAGATAGCATTTCACCATTCACAAGATTTTACGATTTCCCCCGTTGTACAAAATGCTGCTCTCGCTGCCTCGGTTCAGGGGAGGGCCTGGCGACAGACTTCAAGACTACTTCAGGCCGGTCACGACGAGAACTTGGAGCTGGGACTGGTAACATTGAACACCATTCTGAGTGGGTCTTCGTCGGCCAAAAACTGGCTACAGGCTCTCCTGGTCTTTCACGAGGTCGCGGTTGCCAGGGTTCAGCTGGACAGCATCTCATACGGATCCGTCGCGGGCGTGGCTGCAGGAGGCGACTGGGAGCTGCCGCTCCAGCTCCTCACATGGATGGCTGCCAAAGGCCGGGCCTTCAGCGTGGTATCTCTCACCGAAGTGGCACGTGCGTGTGGGAAGAAGGGAGCATGGAATGCAGCCTATGACACACTTGCTGTGCTTTCTAGGGTGCATGTAAGACCGAATGTGATTACAAGTAATGTGGTCCTGAATGCGCTGGAGACTAGAAACCTTTGGATCGAGGCATTGAGTTTGGCAACTGCCTCCTGCAGCAAAGCCGTGCAGACAAGTGAGGTGTCGTTTGGCTCTCTCTTGGGCGCCTCTGGCAACAATCCAGGGCGCTGGCAAATCGCACCGCTCCTGCTTGAACGGGCAGATGTAGCAGCTTCTGCGAGCAGCATTGTCTTTAACATCGCCATCTCGAGGCTGGGGGAAGTCAAGAAGTGGCCAAATGGGGTATCGCTTTTACAAAAAATGCTCGAACGCAGCCTGGAGACTGACTCTTCCACTTGGACCTGCCTCGTCAGCTCTTGTGATCGCTGGGAAACGGCTTTTACCTTCATAGACCCAGGGCCAGAAGTTCGAGTTCTGAACGCTGCAATCAGTGTTGCTGGTGGAGATAGACAATGGCAACGAGCCCTACCCCTTTTGCTACAATGCCGTGCTTGGTCTTTGCAGCAGACGTCTGTCACTGTAAACGCGGCTGTAGATTCGATAGCCCGAGGTGCGAATTGGGAGCTTACATGTTGCTTTCTGGCTCGTTCTGCGAGTCTGGCAGTGGAAGTTTCAGATTCCGGATTCAGTATGGCAGTGAACAGTTGTGAGAAGGCAGTCTTGCAGCTGGCCAGTGGAAAAAGCTGGCTGCTATTGGGCATGCTTCGGATCCATCCGTCCTCCCAGCAGCCTTTGCAACCCTTAGCCATACCACTGAGGCAGTAAATGACAGGGCTATAGGGATCCGAAGGGCACTGTTTCTTGTTCGTTCGCAAGGCCGTGCCCTTCCTCAGCCTCAACGGGGCAAGGCCCGGCTTTGCGGTCTCTCTTCCTGGAAGCTTGGGCTACTGTAGCCACTTGTGTATGGCATCATCCAGAAACTCCCACACGGACCGGATGTTCAATTTTTTAGTATGGAGGATCAAATTTCACATGCAGGCAACATTGCAATAGCTTTAATTCAACAAATCGGGGACATGTGGCTTCGTCTTTTTTTGGAGGTGTGTGTGTGTGTGTGTGTTTGTGTGTGTGTGTGTGTGTTTGTGTGTGTGTGTGTGTGTTTGTGTGTGTGTGTGTGTGTGCGTGGGCGTGCGCGTGCGCGTGCGCGTGCGCGTGCGCGTGCGCGTGCGCGTGCAAACCCACAGTTTTTGCTTAGACAAAGTGTTGGTGTGTTTGCGGGCAGAATCTGCGATGATTCGTGGTGCCGTGCTTTTCGCCGGAATGCATTGATTCTGCAGGCATGTTCGCACCTATACGCCGTGCTTGAACGCCGTGCACGAGGTCCCAACTGCAAAATGCCGGAAACCAGATGCGGCTGTTCTGTCTGGTGCTGCCATGGCAGCCTTGCACTAGGCAATCTTCGGCGAGAACATGAGAGATGTGGCCTCGCCCCTATCCCGTCTGCGGTCGCTAAAATTCTAACAAGCGGTATTCAAAAAAGCCTTTACTGGCTGAGGTTGGTCCCTACTGCTGTGCGCAGTTTGTGGTCCAGGACAAACAGGCGAGTAGTGTTTGAGCCGCACGTTGCAGCACTTCTTCCATGCACCGACCAACTTTGTTTCAGATCCGCGAGCGGCCGCTGGAGTTTTATCAGCGGATGCTGAGGCATCTTTCTGCAATGTTTGTCAGCTGTCAGTCGATGCGCCGGGTTCAGTCAGGCTGGTCGACGGCACCATGCAGCACGATCTGTGTTATCCAGGCACGGACATCTTCAGATCTGCTGGCCTTTGCTGTGCTTAGCCTTGGTTCTACGAGGCAAGGTCAAACGCTCTACACACTGCTACGGCATGGAGCGGGTGCCTGAGCATGGGCTGTCAGAGCAGCTTGCGCACTGCTACGGCATGGGGTGGGTGTCTGAGCATGGGCTGTCAAAGCAGCATGTGGCCGCGGGCAAGCCGCCCAGGTTCACGTGGCACCTCGTGTTCGGCGAGGAGTACGACCCGCCTTTGCGCCAGGAGAATACTTGCTTGCATTGGAAGTCTTATGGAGTATTCTTTTCCGGGTAATAATGAAAGAGCGTAGGCATGGGACAGGATGACCAGCGGCTTCCGCTGCCTTTGCGTCTCAAGTTCGGTAACGAGTTCATCCGAAGGCCATGGCCGTTTTTTTCCGAGCGTGATGGGATTATAGCTGCTGCTAGAAATGTTCCTGGGTTGGCAGGGACTGGAACGACGCTGCAGCCTGAGTTGGTATGTCCAGCCTTCTCGAAAACACGTATTGGGACATGGCCGGCTGTGAAGGCATGGCATAAATCACACCGGCTTGTCTTCCAGAGAGAACAATACCCAGTCTTTCGGGCAAGGTGGTTCTCAACCCCAGCACTCCGAAGAAGATCGTGGAAGAGATCAACTATGACCAAATGACCGTCAGATGATCTCTCTCCGGCGAGTTATACCAAAAAGTCTGGGGATGGGCTTTGCTCTCAGGCCACAACTTATGAGCGAATAACCACATCATGACTTCCAAACATGTGTGCATAGCTTCAGCCTGAATGTGCCAGGCATGTGCTGAACGAATGCCTTCGCAAACTCGTGAACAATGCATGCAGCAGGAAAGCCAGACATGCTTCGTCGTCGTGAGAAGAGCCGGAAAATGCAGTACCATGACGATGCAACAAACCTGAGAAGCACGCAGAAACGCAGACTCATATCCTACAACACGTAGAACTACAGAACTCTATGTCACACGAATCATGACGTTGCAACTCCATTTCCAAAAAGCTGACTTGGTTGGTCAAGCAACGCACATACGCCCCTGCGGTCAATGTGCATAGGCTTGTGCACTCTCGGCAGCAGGCCGGCTCAGTCCGCTACATACACTGTTTCGGAGATTCACTTAAAAGATTCGGGGCATGCAACTCCAGAAGGCACTCTTCATCCGCACCAAGCCTGCGGATGTCAACTGTCCATGGCTTTGAAACAATTCTTGTTTTGTCTTACTTGGGCACTTCCGGCATACGTGGTGCCTTGCGGACACTTCACATGCCGAAACACGTGGCCGGGTATACGGTTTACAGGATGCTGGGTTCGCTTGTGGCATACAGGCAATCACGCGAATCGTGCAACCTGCCTGCCAGGCCATGTGTCCTCAGGATTAAAACAGGACCACTGCCACACCTCTGCAGACTTGGAGATCGAGGGACATTCACCTGCTACTATAACTCAGCTGGGTTGGCCAGAGGCTGGGATATGTCATCAGAGTAGTAGGCGTGGCGGCCAGCCTCGTCGATGAATACCCTGGGAGTAGTTAAATGTGAGTCGTTGACTTTACCTACAGCGATTGGCTGTTAGGTTGCTATTCTACGCTCAACCCTGTGAAAGCATAATTTTTATATATTTCCTTTTCTTATCTACTACGCTGATCAGGTGCTAACATTTACGTACAGCCGTATGGAGTAGCTCAGTATGTAGAAGAATCCCACATCGTCTTCTGAGCAGACATCGACACCCCTTGCCAACCGGACATGTGGCTCTCAGCATCGGTGTCGTGTGCCACTGCAGCCGGGATGTCGCAGAAGGCTGGGCAAGCCTTCTCTTTCCTGCTACAGAGCTGGGACAACAAACCGTTGGGTCTTACACGCGCAAGTTGCCCTGCCGTCGCCAGGTGGTTGTAGCTTCTGGATATTTTGATCCCCTGCACTATGGCCACATCGAGTACTTGCAACGATCACGGGAGCCTGCCGGGGGGCATCAGAGCACGTCGTAGAGTTTTGTTCAACAATCTTGCAGGAATAAGATTTAACAGTAACGACAGCTGACAAGGACCTCGGTGACAAGCTCATCGTCATTGTCAACAACGACACTCAGGTGGTTTTGCCTGTTTGGGCCCCTCCCAGCTGTCTCTTCGGGCCATCTCTGTCGAAATCGCAATCTCATGACTGAGGCTCCTAGATTCACCTAGATTCTGGCATCCGTTTTGGGAAGGCGAAGGACAAGAAGGGCCAACCCTTCATGCCTGGGGCCCTGCTATCTCCAGTCACCCGATGCCTCGATGAGGGGTGGAGGGATAGTCCGTTCATGCTCCCCGCAATAGACCCAAGATGACCCAAGTGATGAGAGTGCTGTGAACACACATTGTTTGTCGGGATGGCTGAGGCCTGCACGAGAGCGGGTAAAGCTCGTTCGATCCTTGGCCTGTGTCGATGCAGCCATCGAAGCCATCGATCAGGCCCGGTCTGAGATCGTCTGAGAATGTTAGGTTTCCTTCTTGGAGACTCAATGGGCCGATTCTCTTCTTTTCTAACAAAGTTGCAAGCAATCCTGGCCGAAGCAGATCGTAAGGGTTGGCAGCCAGCAAGATGATAGAAGGCATCTTAGTCTTAGGTCTGAAGTATTCAACTTGTCCTTCTGTGCCATCTGGACGCCAGGACCAAACAGTTCGAAGAACCCTCAGATTACTGCATCCGGCTCCCTGGATGCATGTCGCATATCGCCACAGTCCCCAGTTGAAACCAGCTGCAGCCAGGATATCTTCACAAACGGTCCTCAGCTTACTGTGCTTGTTGCAGCTCCCCTATGTAAGCATCGAGTTTCGCTCGATTGATCCAGGTGGGGATATCAAGAACGAGGATGTCCCAGAGGCTTGCTGTAGGCTGCTTCATGTTTAGCTGGTTTATGGATTTGTTTTGACACTTGACATGCGCGTCAGGCTGATGTTTGCCGAGAGCTGGGTATCAAGCTGATAGATGGCTTGGGAGACAAAGTACAGTCTTCGCCCGACACCCAGGCAAAAGGTGCACCGGACAAACAGATACAGCTAGGCAGTTGTACTTCGCCTCGTGTTTTCGCTTGGCCAGGCGGTAAAAGCTATGCACCTTGACCACATGGAGTGTCGCTTTGACGAGGTCCTGGCTGATCAACAAGATCGCCAAGCCAGCAGTCAATGGTACCTCAGTCAATGGTACTTCATCAGGCGGGTGTAAGGGGGTGTTTGTCACTTTTTGAGCTGTTGCGGATTGCTCGCAAGAGAAGTGGCTTTGATCGGATTGGCTACAGCGCGTGAGTAGGTTATTCAACTCTAAATACATGAAGCAACTCATCCTTACTACCTGGGTCCTCCTCATGCCATTAAGCGGAAGCAGATTCAATGATTGTCAGAGACGGTGAGGCTGAGGCTCTCGAGATGCATTGAAACTGTACTCGAAGTCCTGTTTCGACGAAGTCTGCGGCAGGCTACGCCTCGCCAGACTCGCCGGACAGCTGAGACAGAAATCGATCTCAGCCAGAAACGGATCCGCTTGTCTGTCATGGAATTTCAGGGCCATTTCTCGAATTCCGGGTGCTGACAACCAGAATCGGTTGAGCAGCTGGGATCGGTAGGGTCCTCGCTGTAAGGCCGAGGTCGAGAGTTTGATGATTTGGATCCTAAAATCATGGAACTTGGGATAAATGTCTGCAGCGCGTACGCCCTTGTGGGATGGCAGAGTTGCAGGGCCAAACCTAGCTTGGATCTGACAAGGTGTGTCTTTGTGCCAGCATCTGCGGTTCTTCTGTCAGCGTATGGCTCAGTAGGGGGAACTCTGAAGGCACCTTGCAAGAACAAGAGGCCTACCCAAATGATTGTTCGGTCCTGGTCTCTAAATTGGCATAACTTAACCCCCCAGCAGCATCACGTCGTGCAGCATGGCACTGATCATGAGGATGTCGGACACCTACTCTTCGCGACTTGCACATGTTGCCGGCAGCACCGTGAATCTTTTTGACTGAGCATAGCACTTAGGAAGCAGATGCGGGCCATATGCATTCTGATTCTGCTTCTGTGGCAGAGGTTGTCTTCAGCGCTGTTGTGTTTGACAGCTTGCGCAGCATTCTCAGATGTCTTGTGCGTCTTGCGTCATGCGCAAGACATGGCGAGAAACAAACTAGTTCTTTTGAGAAGCTTTGCAATGAGTCGTTCTCGATTAAGAATCGATCACTGGCAAGGTTATGGGCAAGTCCACTGGAGGCAGTTGCTTCCGTCCCAGTTTGCTTGGAGATGTACGCAGGGTTTGGGCGCAGGGGCTGGATTTCTGAACTCCGAATCTTGTGTTTTGCTTGTGCTCCGTCCAACACTCTGCCGTATTTCGCTTCAGGGTGTGGGAGTTCATCCAAGGCCAGTTCCAACAAGGACAGAGACGCAGTTGCACGACAGTATTGTCACCGACCACATGGCTCAAAGTTGAAGCGAAGATTCTGCGTATTTCCCCAGTTAGATGACGCACTTGCACGCAACGAAAACCCTGTGCCTGTCGAAATTGGCATGTGGTGAAGTGTCATGCTGTGTCGTTCCAAGGTCATGCACCTGGGGTCGATTCCAAGTGCCACTCCAAGGCCACTGTGCGGGTTTAGGGTTTATGGTTTTGCGTTTAGGGAAGCCCAAAGAAGAAACGCTTACAACTTCGGGAGAGAAGCCAATCACGAGACGGGCTCGGGATTTCTGGTGCTATGAGTTCGCACGGTTGTTACATTATGTTATCTTCAGCTAGTTACAGAGTTCGGCGATGGATCATCGTGCTGGAGCCAAACTTGATGTTTCAGTGCAATTGCTCTTGACAGTGAGCAACATTGAATGTTTTGTGTTTACACGAGGTACATGTGTCATGGGGATTGGTCAGCTTCATGGCGTCATTCTGCCTGTCAGGTCATGAATGCCAGCCTCTTAGAACTGTCACCCAAGTGGAGAGATCTGAAATGCACTGAAGCGCAAGCAACGGCATAAGGGCTACGACCGATGCAGTTGCATGCACCACGTGAAGCGCGGCTCCTTTATGGAATGAAGGCGCCACTCTTGTCCAGCCGAACTGAGGCCATGTTGGCCGGTTTTGAGAAGCGCCCAGATGATTTTCCTGGTCTCAACACACGGCTGGCACCTCAGAGGAAATCCTGGAGAGCTTCTTTGACTGTGAATAGAAACAGCCACTGTGCCGAGGCTTGCAAAAACCATGGAGTTTTCCACGGGGGTTCCAAAACAAAATTGGACATGTCACAACTGAAGCCTTTTTGCTGTGGTAGCAGTAAGGTCGAACTACCGCGACTTCCAGGTGGAACCTCCTGCATGCAGAGTGCTGGCTGAGGGTTTCAGCATAGCCATCTGCCATCACCATGCTCGTTACCCGCCAGCTGCTGGTAGTGGTGGTCATGGCGGTGGTGGCCGCAGGAGTAGTAGTAGTAGTCGTCGTCGTAGTAGTAGTAGTAGCAGTCTTAGTAGTAGTAGTAGTAGTAGTAGTAGTAGTAGTAGTAGTAGTCGTAGTAGTAGTAGTAGTAGTCGTCGTCGTCGTAGTAGTAGTAGTAGTAGTGGAAGAAGAAGAAATAAGGGTCGTAGCAGTAGCGGTACCGGTAGCAGTAGCGATAGCGGAAGCCGTAGCGGTAGTACTCGTCGTAGTAGTAGTAGTAGTAGTAGTAGTAGTGGTAGCAGTGGTAGTAGTAGTAGTAGTAGAAGTAGTAGTAGAAGTAGTAGAAGTAGTAGAAGTAGTGGTGGTAGTAGTAGTAGTAGGAGTAGGAGTAGGAGTAGTAGGAGTGGTAGCAGTATTCGCAGAAATAGTAGTAGGTGGTAGTGGTGGTAGTAGTAGTAGAAGAAGAAGTAG